TTTTTTTTTTTTTTTTTTTTCATATCTTTAATCACGCGAGTTATTTTCTTTAACTAAATATGATTCTATAATAAAGTCGCCTTCTTTGTACATTTTTGTGAAATATTCTAATAAGCTGATTTTAATTAGAATATTATTCGTACATTTTTTTGCGAATAAAGAGAAATTTTATAGTATGATAAAATTAAAACCTATTCTTAAAATTTTACCCGAGTATCAATGTCACATTTCCTATATAATTTTTTATGACGTTATAGGTCGACGGAGAGGCTTGTCGCTTGTTACCATCCATCATAACTTTAAGTATGTTAAATAAGGCTACAATGTTAGCGAAGAGAAGGAATACGGGGAAGCCGCACCAACACATAGCAAGATTAGACAGACTAAAGTTGCCCGTGATGAGGATAAAGATGTCGGATTACGAGGCGTATCATCATAATAAGGAGATGTTGAAGGATGTGGCAGAGTCGTGTTTCGCGGAACCGGTTGATCTTGACGCTGCGACCGATCTAGAAAGTCTAAGGAAACTCTTGACGAAAGATTATAATATGGATTCGTGCTGTTTCCTTGACTGTGAGTACCTTGACTCCTCGTGTGAATTATTTGCAAATCCGCGCACGATCTTCTGTGTAAAAAATATGCAAAATACGTGTGCGCGGTTTCTATCTTCCAGCGTGCACTGCGGAAAGATTCTTCAGGATCGATCGCGGCCAGGAGCAGTTACATTACGTAACGGATGTCGCCGTAGACACTGTATACATACTCGATGAAGACGCCACGCAGCAGCAATCCGACGGCCAAGCGGGACCAAGTCAGATCGTTGTAAGCCAGGAAGCTGCGCAAATTCGTTCGCCCAGGTACGCGGAGTATTTTCATACGGATTTAGCGTTAAATTTTTTTTTTTTTTTCTTCAAAACGCATGATATGATATATGATATAGTGACGAACATCTAAAGGAGATGCCAGCCGTGACGGAGAAAACAAATCGATCGAACGAAGATGCACGGGGACAGGAACATCTCTCCGTCACCGGGAAGATCAGACTTTCCAGACAGCCGGAGAGCGTTTCCGAGGGCCAGAACGGTGTCAGGCCGAAGAATTCGGCGAGTCGGAACTCCTTGGATGTGCCGCCGAGCGAGAACAAAAACGGCGAGTCGAACTCCTACATAAGACGAGAGTCCCTGAAGCAAAACTCTCATGTCGCAATCACTCGTGCCGAACAGTCGCAACATCAGGCTGACCGATCTCTCGCTTTTATCAGGTAAGATTCTCAGAATCTTGAACGTTACTCTGAAACGAACGGGGCATGCCGTTAATTAACCGAATGATCGAGAGCCAAGATGGGTGTCTATGCGACGTTAAATAGAAGACGGGAAACTTCGAATGAAGATCACTGGTGACTTTCAAAGCGGGTAGACCTTTATTCCACACGAGTGCCTTTTAGATGGTGTAAAAGGTATCGCGACTTGATGATATATATTATGGATTATTCTAAAGAAAACTCGACACGAGCGTTACGTAAACTTTCGTTCGACCGTGCACTTCAATTATCTTTGCTCGGATAATTTATTCGGATAATAATTATTCACTGTCCGCGATATTGCAAAAGTACATTTTGCGTGCAGAAAAGGGGGGGGGCTGCCTTAATCTGGATGTTCCGTTTCTATTTGCAGCCCTCGCGACAGACTCTTTGGCCTGAACTCGGGGGTTCACGGATTCGCTACTGAATTACTAGAAAGGAACTGCGATGAGATATTGAGAGCAGCGAAGATCGGCGATCTGTCGACCTTGAAGCAGCTTCATCAAAAAGGGTACTCGCTTCTGTCGATCGATGAAACTGGTCAAACGGCACTGCACCTGGCATCGAGGCACGGACACAAGGACATCGTCAGATATCTTATTGCCTGCGCCCCACCGACAATTTTAAACATGATCGATAATGATAAGTAAGTTATCAACGAATCAAATAAAAAGATCATCGTAAAATTAAAAATTTAACCTAAGAATATATTGATCGCTAAAACTTTTTCTATCCTTCTCATCCATTTTTATTCGTATCGCTTTTTTTTTGTGTATGTTCACCTTGATTCCGAAAGTGAGAAGTAATTTATTTCTGTTTCACAGAGGGCAAACCGCTTTGCATAAAGCTGCCCAGAACAAACGTCGTTCCATTTGCTGTATGCTCGTAGCCGGCGGCGCCTCTTTGATGGTAAAGGACCGGCACGGAAACACACCGCATCAACTCGCGTTGATCGCAGAGGACCACGATCTAGCTGCGTATTTGCAAAGTAAGTAACAGTCCGTCAAAGCATCCTTTGTCCGATAGTAAGACTGTATTTTCTCGTTTCGCGCAAAATAGAGAAAAAATAATCCGCGAATTTCAAGACAGCGTCATCGATAAAATCTTGTCTCTTTAAAACGCTAAAAGTATAACTCTAAATAAGTATATATCTATATATGAACTGTAACGATATATGTCATTAGGTCAAGAACACTTTCAATTGGCAACGGACGAGATGGAGAGCGATCTCTGACCTCCAGCGTTGATCGCCACGGCCTGAACCGCCCTGAATGATTGTGACGTAAGAGCTGCTATTATCGGCATTCTGACGTTTTTTGCGGCATTTTTTCCGGCGTAACGTAACGTAAATCGCCACGTGATAATATGATATTCCTCGTCTGTCTATTCGACGTTGACGATTACGTGTTTGCCAAATACTGACGTATTTTTCTTGTCGATACTTCGAAATTTATTCTCTAAGACACAATTATTATACATAATTATACACACATACACGAATACACGCGCATACATATATACGTACATAGCTGTTTCCAATCGATAATAAGTCCTTATTTTTCTCACTCGTAAACTTGCTCGAGGTTTGTAGCTCTACTTATATTCGTATACTCGGCAAGTGAACCATTATCAGTCAGGGAGCATCTAAAATTGCTCCTAAGACGAGCAAATTTATTTTTCGTACAACATTTAACGTCTCCTCCGGTCCAAAGTGGGACAGTCAGTTTTGTATATGTATACTTATGTATAAACACATCTATTATATATTTGCGGAAAAGTCTACGACAGTCTCACTTAAAAACAAGTAAACATAATGGGCCAGTCATTACGTTTGCGCGATTAAGGGATGAAGGACTGCTTGTGGAATTCAGTTCAGTGAAACGAAACGTTAAATCTGTGCCAACTGACTGTAAGTTATGAAGGAACAACAATGCCAAACGAATATTGACTGTCTCATGTTGGAGTATGTGCAAAAGTGTATATATATACATATATATATATACATATATATATATACGAAATGTTCATAGTCTTCACTCGGAATGAGTGCTACAAGCGAATCGATAATCTGTTAGTTTTAATCCAGGGAAAATAGAGGATAATCTTAATGGGACATCAGTAAAAACGAAGGTACATTCTATAAATACCAAAATGTGAAAAGGGATCAACGTACGAACACCAATTAGTAGTTAGATGCAGTCTATCAACATTATTGTACTATTACTATTACTATGATACTGTTATTATATTTTTTGTCGAATTGATATAAGATCTATGTATAATATACGTGTAGAGTTTTTAAGGCGCTCATCGCTTGGATTTGCGCGTATTTTAAAGAAAGGGTGCCGCTCACAAGTCAATACGATCGTGCACGCAACGATTTCTTTCTTTCGCGCGTCTCAATTGAGCCCATTTACTTATCGATACTTTCTGTGATTCTCTAAAAACCCAGTTTATATTCTATTATTTGAATGTGTGTAAAGATTTAATTCGTACGGCGGCGAGTATATCCTATGCCTTCATCTTTTTCTATTTTTTATACTGATGCTCAATAGTTCGTATACATTTCGTTGCAAAATGGTAGAGAAATTAATAGAAAGCCAAGATGTATCGAATACAACGGCACGACTGAATTACTTGTTGAATTTTAAATGACAGTGTACGAAGAAAAATGTGTAAAGAAAATTATAATTGTTACGAAATTATTTAGCTTCTTTTATAATTTTCAATTCAACTCAAATTATTTTTTATCTCATAATAAAAAATATATGCGTATCAGAACTATTGAGTGTCGGTATTGCAAAGGTCGGGCGCTCTTTTAAATCTTGTGCACATGAGCGGTTTTGTAATCGCCAGATTATCTCAACGCGACAAGAAAACTGTCACGTTGACTTAAATGATATTCGAGTACCTACATGTTTTTAGCGAATAGGAAAGAATTGCCGCTGTTTTCCGACTGTTAAGTTTCATGCGAGAATATAGATAACTTACGAAGCTTCGTGTTCGTCCACAACTTAAGAAGACAAAGAATTATTGTAACAGCAGGGAGGGGGGGGGGGTTATTTTAGACTTCGTTAGGTCGCGATATGTGTGAATTAAGAACGCCGGTCTTTCATCGATTTTCTCTAAGGAAAAATCGACTGCGCACTCGTGGTAGGAGAAGAGCGCGATGTCTAGTACGTCCTTTGCTTATCTTTACCGCTCTTTGGAGTATTTAAGAAGAAATGCCTTTCGCGATCCGTACCTGTTGTATCGTTGTACCGATAAAAAGAGAGAATTTAAAGCGAGAGAGACTACTGCATGGATCATTGTAGGATCATTGTAGGATCATTATAGGACGTGTAAGAGTACACTACGAGCACGTTATCGGGTATATATTATGCGTGTACTGTATGTCGAGAACAGACAATGAGAGTAGCGTTAGTTAGATGCCCGATAACGTAACGATATTGGAGCCGGTACGATCTCATGTGCGCGAAGTTCGATTCTCGATGTCGAAGTGTTGAGAGACAAAAAGTATATACATCTTACGTTACATAAAAAAATTTATTTATTACCGCGTGAGGATCGTTTTCTCGCGACAATCCAACATTTTCTTACTTGACCATCGATCGTACCGATTTCAATCCTCGGATGGTAGTAGACCAGAGATTTCAACAAAAAAAAAAAAAAAAGAAGATAAAAGGAAATAATTGGAATTTCCCGAATAGTAACGCCTTTATGTAGCGGCGGCGGTGAGAGCGCTGGCTCGGCTTGCAAATTTCGATTTAAGTTTTTAGAGCAATAAATTAACGACAATCACGATATTTCGGCATAAGCCAGCGCTCGGGCCGCGACTGTTAATTCTCTCCCGTCCGTTCCTTCTCCTTGTTCCACTCCCTGTCGAAATTCGAGATTGTCTCGTTTGTTGTTGTGTGAACAACGAGACTCCGTGTGCACGACCACGCTCTGTTATATCATCGATTATAGACGTGCGAGCACGTGCAATATGCCTTCATTAATGTTGACACGATGTTTATTTACTAGCAACTAACTGACATGTTAGTCTTTTAATATATCTACTAAAAAACTAGTAGCTAAATAAATATAATTCTATAAATTACATTTTTTTAGTTAATTAGCACCGAAAAATATAATTTATAGAATTGCATTTTTTGTGAATTTTAAATCTGACTTTACACATGATGGATATGCACACAAACGACTTCAAAGATCACAATTTAAGATTCGCACTTTATTATCAAATAATGAGCATAAAACGTTTTTAAAAAATTAAAAATAAAATATTTCAAATATATATAATATATATATATAAAACATAAAATATAATAAAAAAACTTTTAAATATTATATATATAAAATATTAGTTAGAATAAAATAAAATATTATATTATATGTATAATATATATATGAATATTTGCTTCTTCTATTTCTCTTATTCTCTTTTTCTTTTCCCATCTATGTCTCTATCTTTCTATTTCACTTTTTAAAATTTTTCCAAATTTTCTCTGATAATAATTCCATAAATTTTTAAATAACATTTAAATTTCGATAATCGTGCTATTTACTTATGGAAATACAATTCTCTCTTTGATGTGTGCATATTCAAGTTAACACGATTTTTCAGTTTACGATAAAATAATATAATTATGTAGCAGGAAAATTCGTGTACACGGAGTCGAAATCCTTAAAAAAATTCCATTCCCTTTCTTCCCATAAAATTTACGAATAGATAATTTATAATTGATATTATAATAGAATCTTGTTATTCCGTGTTCGTATTTTAAAGTTCGTTGTACTTGATTGTACTGGACGACAGAGCGTCTCGAGAATGAGCCTTACTTCTATTAAACTTCTCTTTTCTATCGCTCGTAGGAAATAAGTTTCAATTAGATGTATAAGACACACATATATTCAGTAAGTAAATTTCTTTCAGTCCAAAATCATTTCATGCACGTGAATAACAATGGACGGATATTTCTACTTCGAGTTTCATCTCATTCAGAAATTAACAAATCACGATACTTCGAAACTCTCGGTACGAAAGAACTTTGTTGTCGTCCAGTCGTATTAAAAATGTTACGAAAATATTAAATAGTATATAAATAGATTCGAATTACGGCTATATTCTACGGAATTTCTTAACTATTCTAGAGATTACTCATCGAAAGAGATTCTGTCCATTCGCCTGTTAGTTCTTCCATCGAACGTGTATCTCCAGACATTTTTGAGAGAAACTGCAGTTTTTTCGGTTGCCAATATATATTTTCAGCTCGTAACGACACCCATGTCGAACGACACCTAATGATAACTTTTGTTTTTCTACAAGAATATGAATATAGGAACTGAACTTTACGGATATTTCCTGTAAACATCGATACATTTCTCAGTATGCGACTTGCGCGTATTACGCGGCACGAACGTCGTGTGCTCATTACATATAAATTTCTAATAACAATAAGTCTCGTGGGCTTGGATGGACCAACCAATGACCATTTTATTTTATTAAAATAAAACGATATTGCTGTATTATCCGTAATTTTAAATCTACTAAACAAAACAACTCGCGCTACCGGACTATTCTTAAAACGTCCTCCGCGAACAGCGGAACGTAAGGAAAGAACGACTCCAAAACCGGTAGAAAAATTCGCGAAAACTTCCTCCCAACAAATTCCCGACATATCTCTATGTATTTTTAATAATAATAAGCGTATGTTCAATTCACAATGTGTTGACATGTAATGTATTTATATATAATAGTATATACATATATATAGTATAGATATATATGTATAAATATATATATATAGATACTGCTTCCTTTTTCCCTCGCCTCTTCATTCGGTCAAACAAAATTATGCACGCAAAGTTTATTCATCAGTTTATTAAATTATATTTGACAAATAAATATATTTGGTGAACACAATATATATATATTAGATAAATAGTTTAAAGTACTTTAAGACAACAAATTAGGAACCTAAGTGTCTTATCCAGATTAAATAAACACACACATAAATAAATGCCTTTATTTAAATAAATAAACATAAGTAAATGTTTTAGTGACTAGAATAATATTTACGAAATATTTGCTTTTGCGTTAATAATTTGTTTTAACTAGAGCCGTTTACATATCATTCCGTATTTTTATGTTTGTTAGTAGTTTAACCAGGGATAATCTCAAAATCTATTTAACTATCAAGTTGATCTAAATTATATTTAACGAGCAAATAAATAAAAGGTTCAACACTTTAGGACTATACAGATTAGGAACTTTGCTTCTTATCAAAATTAAATGTGTGAATACAAATATATACTTTTACTGATATTTAACAATAATTAAGATTGTTGTATTTACTTTCTCGTTGTGGATCTGATTCAACATCCAATACTTGCAAATGTATCATGTATCTTCATCTTTATCAGTTTAATCGGGGACAATTACGAAAGCTACTTATCTCAGATACAGGATGACGCCACGGCGTAACCATGCGTCGCATTCCTCTCGCGGACACGTGATCGGTAATGAACAAATTAAAGCCTCCCGTTGGACACTTGTATAAACCGGTATATTCAAATAATCTTGCTGATACGTATCTTCGAGAGCGTAAACATTACCGTCACCGGATTTATCGTCCGAGTATTCCTCCGGCATAAATGCCACTTGGCATGTCGGGGCGACCGCGACCGCTGCCGAATTTACGTCTAGATCCTTTAAGACACCTTGCTCGATTGAAGCTCCTGCAAGCAAGATATATGACTGTTTTATCTTTTATTTAAGGAACTCTGGACTTTTTGATATTATCCAAAAATTTTAAAAAATTCTTAAACGTGTGTTTCTCGTTTAATTAATTACGTCGATGTGAGTCGCGGATTAAGTTCCAGCTCCTCTCGTAACAAATGAGAACTTGGTATTCCGAATACTGGATCAAAATCTGTCGAGTTTGAATGAGACCCAGACAATTAATCAAGCTTACCCGATATGAGCAAACCTTCGAGTTGGAGTGATACCTTCCACTCCTTGTTCACACGATTCTCGGTCCAATTGGCACAAAGATGAAGAGTTTCCAATGGATGACCGAGTTCTCGTGCGGTGTGTTGCTTCAAAGCGGTTAGAAGAGCCCGTGGTCGGGACAATTGGGACAAATCGACTCGACTGGGTATGTTTATCGCCGAAGATCTTAGTGCTTCGTAGTTGGATAAAAGCAACTTTGCGAATTGAATGGCGTTTTTCGGGCCCGTTCGCCATTCCGCCAGCCAGTGCTTGGGAGTCTTAATTGTTTATAAATGAATATTTTTTTATTATTATGTAAAAATATATATAATTATAATTATCGTTGTACCAAAATAACAATGAAAAAGTGACATTTTCAAAATCAAAGTCTGACCTCATTATCTTCAAAAGATGACGCGTCCATGTCGGTTTGTACGATATGCAATAACTTCTTCGTAAGATCGATCTCGTCGATGAAAAAGTCCTGTAAAGGATTTCCTTTCCGTTCGCTTATAGCACCTGTATCACACGTAAATGTCAAGGAACATTGTCGCTCCATAACCACTTTTAGATCGTGTTGAACTCTTGACTTCTCTAATTTATTGCTATTTTCTTCGCTGTTATTAAACGGCTTCATCAAAATGCCTTAAAAATAATTTAAGCATATTTGAAAACTTAAACAGTTAAATATAAGAATAAAACTAATAGGATCTAGCTGTATTATTTGGTTCT